ACTATCCTATCACATGAGGAGGCCCCATGTTGATCGTGGAGCCCCCTCATGTGAGGGGGCTATAAGTGTACAATCCACTTAGAAAAACGCAAATCAAATTTATTAGAACCAGTTATACCTAATTAATAATCATTAAGTTAAAAGTCAAGATTTTGCCTGTTATTTGTACGTCTCTTTGCAAATCAAATCAGGCGTGTGTTCATTTCGTTTCGAAATTTGAGTTCAATCATGCTACATATATAATATTTGTTTTACAATTTTGATTAACAATGCACACTTAACCATATTACACCCATCTAGGGCTGGGAAAATCACCTGAACCGAAACGATCGAATCGAACCGAATCCGACGGTTCTTATCAAATTAAATACCGGAACGGATATCTAAATTGAGAATCGACGGGTACGATTCGATTCTCGGTTCTAGACCAAGAATCGAATAACCGAATCTTTCTAATTTTTTTTATATTGAATAAATCAAATTATTTTAATTTTAATTTTTTTTCTAAACAAATTAACAATTTCTAAATTCAAATTTTTGGCCTAATAATTTGTTTCATTTCTAATTTTTTAATTTTTGACCCAATTACCCATTTTATTGTCTCATTTCTTAGCCCAACAAGATCCAACCCACTAAATAACCCTAAACACCTACACTAAAGTGTATAACGCTGTCTCGACTCTCGCCGACATTCCAAAAACTATACAATCGTCGACCGACGTTGTGATCTCCGATTGAAGCTGTGACCTCCTCCAACCGAAATTTTGACCGTAGCGATCATTTGAACAAGGTAATCTACTAGTCTCTAACATTTCAAAACCATTGAATATGTCATTAGTTGTATTTATATAATGTTGTTATAAATGTTAAAAAATTTAATTATAGTACAGAACCGAATTGAACCGAACGGAATCGATCCCGAACGGTTCCATAATTATATTTGGACCCGACGGTACCGACCCACGCCCAACCCTACACCCATCTATTTTAAAAACTATTTCTTAAATCAATGAACCAAATTTTGACATTATCTACAACAAATTGTACCAATAGCTTTATTCATTTGAGTTTTGCTATCGTGATTAGGCACCAGATTTTTATATAATTTTTAAATTTTGGATCACGATTAGCCGCCCACTACATGTTGTTGGATGTACAAAAATACTAATAATTTTGATTTTGATTCATGTTTATACATACCTAATTTCTTGTCCACAGTGGGACAGAAATTATAATATTCACGGTGAGAAATGACAACATGTGGTGTTGCCATTATAACTCTGATGAAAAGGAGATCAAACCCGCATATTTATGTGCGCATGTGTGTGTGTATATACGCGTGTGTGTATATATATATATTTTACGTGATTACGTCCCTATTTGACCCGCATTAAATAAATTTTTTTCTTATTAATTAAACATTTTTCAATAACTAATATTACATGTAAACTTAAAAAAAAAAAAAATTATTTTTAACCACACATTTTTCAAAAGTTTATTATTCCTTTTATTATATGCCCTTGTTTGATTCTCATTTTGGGAGAAATAATGTATTTTGAATAGTAGATTGATAGAGAATGTGTGATTAAAAATTAAAAAAAAATTTTAAATTTACGTGTAATGTTATTTTATTGAAGAATGTGTGATTGAAAATAAATTTTGAAATTTTTTTTTTTTTTTAGAATTATGATAATCAAACAGGACTATAATTTGAAATAGTGGAAACCTGAACAAGAGCCACGTGAAGATGTCATAAGCGCCTGTACATAATTTATATTAAATACTTATGTACTTATGGCATATTATATTAATTATCAACAAATCTAATCATTTATGTGACTTGTCATTGTTGCACTACAATCAATCCCGCCGAAAGAAGAAATTTATCCTATGTCTATTTCATTTATTTATTATATGGAACCCACCATTATCTTATCACAATCTACAATCTAACATGAGAGAGAATTGACAGCTACATCAATTTAAGTGAAAGAATAATATTATTTGCAGTCATTCTACATGACATACACATGATAGTTGGTTATTTGATACATTAATGAAAAAAATTACCACATTAATGCATCAAATAATCACCTGTCATGTATATGTTACGTAGGGCGACTATCGCAGTGAGTGACTACGAATAACATTACTCTAAGTGAAATCATAGTTTCTTTATTCCATTCAAATCATAAAAGTATAGTTCCCGCAAATTACTCTCACCCGGCAAATAATATTTTTAGTCAACAAGTGGTAGCCAAGTCGAATTAGTGATCTTTTTTATTTAAAAAATTGAGATTGATGTTGGAATTATTTCACGTGTTAAATTAATCAATGATTGCTGAAATTTACTGGAAGTTATTACTTACTTATCGAAATTTAAAAAGTTATTTTTTGTTCACTAAATTTTGTCATAAGTTACTATTTGCTCATTAAAATTCAAAATATTGTTTATTACTCATTTAAATTTGAACAAAGTTACCGATCAATCACCCATACCATTTACATGAGTGTTATATAATACAAAGTTTAGTGAGCAACGAGTAATTTTATTCAGATTTTGGTGTGCAATGAGTAACATTTTAAATTTCGATGAGTAAATAGTAACTTATAGTAAAAGTTGGATGAATAATGAGTAACTTTTTAAAGATTGGTGCAGTGACTACTCATTAAATTATTTCATTCATTTACTTACTTAAAATTAAACTTCAACACAATTATTACAATTGAATCCTAATGTTTGACACGTGTATAAAACTATTTTGGTAGTTAGACTTGAAGGATTTTTTTTTTCTTTTTCCAATTATTATTGTTTGAACCAAATCATCTAAACTCATAAAAGTAATTCAACATTAATACGTTTTGCACGAGGGGTATAGCATTGTGATTATTCATACAAGAGCACACAGAGATTTACACATGAAAATTTAATATGTTTTGCACGAGGGGTCTAATAAAGTCATTATTAACTTAAATAAATAAATAAATTTATTAACTCATTAACAAATTATGTTTTTATCTGTGAATATATATTTTAAATTAACACTTCAAAATTATCACTTTTAAGAAGACTAGACTTGATGGAAATGAAATCAATTTTCGATGAGTTGTTACTTATTTTATCAAATAAGATTTTTGAAGTTATTTTTGTTATTAATAGAGGAAATTGTTATCTTTTGTTATTAAAAGAATTTAACCTTTTCATTTTATTATTTTCAAAAGCAAGTTAAAAACACAATCTATCAGGGCATCTCCAACCACAACACCATTGCACCATTTTGCACCATTTTTTGATGCAAAATTGCTCCAATCCAACACCAAACTTTGCACCATTTTGCACCAAATTGGTGCTAAGTGTAAAATGTTCATTTGCCCTTATTTAACATTTCCCAAATAAATTTGTTGAGGGTATTTATGTAATTTGCGCTATATATTTTTTAATACAATAAATTATTATTATTTTTTATTAATATTAATATTATTTGTGTTTAAAATAAATTTTAAATGTAAGACATAATAATCAATTAATTAATTAAAAGACGAAAACAATTTAAAATACATCAAACACGATTATTTATTAAAGTTAACACGAAATATATTAAATAACAATTTATGTTCTTTGTTTATTAATTGTATTTTTATTAATTGTTCTATGTTTTTTTATATTTATTAATGAATTTAATTTTTTTCGTAATTTAACGTAATTATTTATTTAGTAATTTATGTATTTATGAAATAACTAAATAAATAACATTTCAAATAAGTAGATTATAAAGAATAAAAAAGGGAAGAAAATGGTTAAATACTGTTTGTATTTTTATTAATTGTTCTATGTTTTTTTATATTTATTAATGAATTTAATTTTTTTCGTAATTTAACGTAATTATTTATTTAGTAATTTATGTATTTATGAAATAACTAAATAAATAACATTTCAAATAAGTAGATTATAAAGAATAAAAAAGGGAAGAAAATGGTTAAATACTGTTCATTTGGTGTAATTTTTGGTGTAATGGTTGGAGATGAATTTTAGTTTGGTGTAAGATTTGGTGCAAAATTTGATGTAAAATGGTGCAAAATTTGGTGTAGGGTTGGAGATGGCCTCATGTTATGTATCTTTGAATTACAATCTAAAATTACATAATTGCTGACCTGTATCATTGTGAATATTCCTTGTGATAATGGAGTTTAAAGTGTGAAATTATTGGACACATAAATACATAATCTTGACCCTACTAGAAATTTTTGGGTATATAATGTATGGCAGATTCGATTAATCTATTATATCTGCTGTTGTGGTTGCTACTATTACTGCACTACAGCATTTACACCAAAAAATAAATAATCTACAAAATATGCATCAATCAGTGCGTTCAATTATTGAAATAAGGAGCGTTTTCAATCGTTGAAAAAGTAGGAGGGTATAATTAGTGATGAGAGGATCGAGGTTCTCTATTGAGCAAGTAACTCACATTATTAATTTTAAGACACACGACATCCTATGTTGAGTATGTGATACACATTCGATATATCCTACAGGTAATCCCCTCCCTTCTTCCACTCTGTCCCGAAGAGTAACTAGGACCATTTAGTACCCATAGGTACTATATTGGATTTGAATCAGATTTCGGATCAATCTATATGTGTATTCCTGAATAATCTCATTTTTCAATTATTCAACCATTTCATTTTACCAAGTTCAATGTTAGCCAGATTAGTCAACATTTATATGTTTCGATGCAACAACAAGATGTTATTTGTAACAAGTAGTTTTGTTGGTTGGTTAATTGGGCACATTTTATTCATGAAATGGCTTGGATTGGTATTAGTCTGGATACGGCAAAATCATTCTATTAGATCGAATAAGTGTCATACTTGAAACAAAATGAATTTTGTGGATGTCAAATTGAGCACTTTTTAAATCGTGTTGATCTCGACCAAGTTGAACGCATGTTCTACTTCGTTGCAAAGTACTTGAAGCTCTCCTTTTTGTAGATTGATTGATGCATATAGTGACTTTCAATTATCAAATCAAAGAAAATTACCAGAAGTAACATTCATCATAGTAGCATCAACATAAAATTACTTTTTAACTACTTATTTATACCTAGAAAGGGAAATATTACAGCATTGTCACCACTATAAAACAGGTAAAAGCACACTTCAACTTGTAAAACAAAGAAAAAGATCACAATTTGATTGGAAAAGCCTTGAGAGGTATGGCCTTGTGTAGAGTAGTAGTGAATTTCTCGCTCATATCAATTTCTTCTGGTTTTAGTCCCTGTTCAAGTCTCCAGTCGAAGTTGTGTATCAAAGTGGCCAACATGACGTGTACTACCCGGTTCGCCAAAGGCAATCCCGGGCACATCCTCCTCCCAGCACCAAAGGGAATGAACTTGAAATCTTGACCGTTGAAATCAATTTTGCGATCTAAAAATCTTTCTGGCATAAACGAATCTGAACTCGACCAAATATTTGAATCTCTACTGGTTGCCCATGTATTAACAAGTATTTGCGCATTTTTCGGGACTATGTAACCATTGATTTCTACATCGGCCTCAGCTTTATGAGGTACTAACAAGGGTGCGACAGGGTGAAGCCTATGTGTTTCTTTCACAAGAGCTTGTAAGTAAGGGAGCTTTGAAATATCTGATTCTTGAATCACACCATGCTCTCCAATCACTTCACTAAGCTCCTTTTTAGCTCTCGACATCGTCTTGGGGTTGCGGAGTAATTCAGCCATTGCCCATTCAACAGTAGATGGAACTGTATCCGTGCTGCCAAAAAATAAGTCCTACGAAATAGAAAGCAAAGTAAGAGAGAAATTTTAAGTATTTCTTCTAAGATTTCTAGAGCAGTAAAATCAAAGTTCATTGTTGAAGTATAATTCATACCATTAGTATATGCCTTATTTCATTTCGGCTTAATTCTGGCTCAGGCTTTTGGTAGAGATCAAGAAGGGCTTCCAGCAAATCATTTTTCTCTAATGTACCTCTGGATATCAACCTTTGATCTATAATACTATCCAGAATGGCATATAATTTTCCGAAATAAAACTTGGTTCGGCGTGAGATGCCTTGTGGATCAACATATTTAAGAACTGGAAAGTAATCTGCAAGATTAGGACTCCCAATACATTTCATTACATTCCACACAACATCCTTGAACTCTTGAGAGGAATCAGAATCAAAGTCAGCAAAATCAACTGAGAAAAGAGTCGACGATATCGTGTTAAGTGAGGTTGTAAATGTAGCCTCAGCTATATCCACTGCATGACCATTAACACGACATTGATTCACATACTCGTATAGTTTTTGCAATTTTTCTCGTCGAATGCCCTGGCTTGCATCAAGCCTTTGCAGTGAAAACATCTGTTCCTTCAATATTCTGCGAAGTTTACGCCATTGATTATCAACTGGCATAAAACCCATAGAAAATTTGCCATGCTCGACGGATTCAAGTGTCACGGGGACAGTTCTGCTACTGAAGGTTTGATCATATTTTTGTAGTACAATTTTTGCCATTTCTGGTGATGAAACAACTATTGTTTCACGATACCCCATTTTAAGATGCATAAGAGGTCCATAGGTTTGGGAAAGTTTGGCAAGTGACTGATGGGGGTTTTCGCCGAGTTGTAGAATGTTCCCTATTATCGGAAAAGGATAAGGCCCCGGAGGAAGTTTAGCGGATTTTCGGTGCTTTGAATTTGAGGTTATGAAAAAAATGCATGCCCATATGACAGAAAATAGAACAAGCAGGAACAATTGGAAATCCATAAGTTTTTACTTTCTTGGTGTCTTCTACAATGGGATTCGGGTGCAAATTTATAGTGCAAAACTGATGCGACCCATGCTGTTTTTGGGCGACGTGCTGTTTGTTTGTACAGAAAAATTATGTCAAAATTTCACCAGACTACACATGGCAAATTTACGTTAGACATGCCTAAAAAAAAAAAAAAGCAGTCCAACCAAATGTTGCCACATATGCTTCTTATGAAATTCTAACAGTTGCACCTTTGAGCAGATTTATTGAGTCCCAGTTTGATAGCAATTTTTCATCTCAAAAAATCAATTTTTTGACCGTTATTTTACTATTTCATCCATCATTTTTGATTTCTTTACTCACAGGTGGAACCTACTTCTCTCTCTCTAACGGTCAAAAAATCAATTCTCATAATCACTATCGAATAAGCATTGAATCTATTAATTATTTCCTTTTCTTAGGCGGCGAACACGTTGTGTGGTGAGATAAGAAAACATTGAGTGCATGTTTTGGTTGAGTAAGAAAACGATATGTGGTGAAGTAAGAAATAAGCCAAACGTTAGGATAAGTTAAAATTTAGAGTTATTCTAGATATGGACATCTGTTTGGGTGAGCTAAATTATTATTTTGAGAAAATAAGGCAGAACCCTGCCCCCAATTATTTTTGGGAAATCAGACTGCTCAGAATTATTTTTGAAATCAGGTATTTTGGAAATTAATTAATTAAAATATTGAATTTTAAATTTTTATTATTATTTCTCATCATTCTCTCTCGAATTTGATTCTAAATCCATGCAACACGAACATCCCCAATTAAAGACGGAACATTACCATTTCAACACGGACCATTCCAAAAATAGTAATAAGCACAAGGATAAAACCATATGTACCGAAGGGGGGGGGGGGGGGGGGGGGGGGGGGTTACCGAAGCGTGTCCCCTTCCAGGCCCCACGTGTATTTAATAATGTCGAGCCGTGGTCCCCACCTTGATGATGTGAGTGGGGGTGTGAACGATTGTGTAAATGATTATGTATGTGTAGCACGATCCCAAGCACAAAGAGATTTAATGTCAGAATAATGATTTAGATTATCAAAATCTCGTGCCCACAACTTCATCTAATTTATATTTTCATTTTTCAACGCCGAAGCACGGAGAATAAGTCACCTGTGACAACTTCCAGTCACACTTGTCCATAGCATCAAAATAGACGTAGTGAGATTTTTTGAGGACGCGATTTGATTATATTTTCAATTTAAGGTCAAAATAAACCTAAAAATAGTCCAATAATTACCAGATCAACTCAAATGTAAAGCGACCACTATATAAAAGTTTCACAACCCAAATATCAATTGTCATCTCACAATCGTTTCAAAGCTTTCATAGTATGTGGATGTGATTTCATATATGTGACTGTCAACATACTTTAACAACCTTCGCAGCTCCTTATTTTTGTGTTATTATCCATGTCAATTTTCCTAATTAATTTTGTTATTAGAGACCTGATTTCTCCAAAAGTTTATAAATTTTTCGTATTTCTCGAGATGTCGAAATATTGCCATAACAATTACCATATAAGTCTAGAACTGTTTTTTGACACTCAGCTCTTGTTTGAAACTCATTCTTATGTTCCTCAAATTCATATCCAATAATATATTATTTCAATAAATTAATTTTATACGTTAGTTCAATTATTTTTTCTATTTTTAAGTATATATTCTTAAAAAACAAATATTTTTTTACAAAATTTATTCTAAAAATGAGGTTCAAACGAGAACTTAAAAATATAAGTCCTAACAGGAATTACAAAGCTTAGCCACAAAATCCACCAATCAGTGTTCTTAACTCCAGCCGACTATTAAGTTGCTCTAGAAGGATTTGTCAAGTGCATTATTTTGGTTAAAAAAATGTTAGTAGGAAACTTCGAGAACTCAATTATTGAGAAAATGGGAAAAGGGTCAATATAGTAAAATGAAAACGTGTGCCAGCTACAGAACTGAATTATCCTTGTCCAATAATTTCACTTTTAAGGAGATTTGTCTTCTTCCGTCAGAAAAAAATAAAAATAAAAATAAATAAATAAATAGAATTGAATACAAGTCAAATCTTCTAGATTAACATTACTTTCTAGCTACAATCGTGCTGTTTGGCTAGAATCAAGTCCAAGCCAAAAAGTTAACTTGATTTCTAGAAGAAAGTTTGATGGATATTGGCCTGGGATGGGATCTGCTTGGTGTACAGCACCAAGTTAACTTGATTTCTAGAAGAAAGTTTGATGAATATTGGCTTCAGATCTGCTTGGTGTTGTACACTTTTGCAGCTCTTTCACAATGAGGGGTCCACAAATTTAATATTCATGTGAGCCCCTCAACATGTGAGGGGACAGTACACCATGCTGTATAGTATGATGTATACAATATGGTATATAAATAGCTTTTTCCTATTGGCTTAAGGGCGTAAATTGATTGTGTCATATTATTACAGATCTTCTTGGATCTATGATGCGGAGATTGAAGAAATATTTTTGGATGATAATATCATCACTTGTATTTTATCATTCATTATTTGTTCTTCAATTAGTTTCATAAATGATAAAAGATTAAAGATCCGACTATTTCGTTCTTGTCTATATGGTCATTTGATTTTATACGAATAAGGTTTTTACACATACATTTGATTTGTTCATAATTGATGTATGAAATTTACTATTGATATGAACTTATTCCTGACTCATTTATTTATAGATTATATTAATTATATTAAAAAAAAAGCTTAATAGAATGTCAATCTTAAATAATTTTTTAAAAAAAAATGGAAAAATGTCAAAGTTTTGACAAAATTATAAAAAATAATGTCATCTTTAATCTTTAAAATTTGCTTAGTCCCCCTTGAATTAAATTTAAAAATGTGAATAAACTTGAATTAAGTCCAAATACAAAGTGCACTAAAAAAGAAAAAATACAAAGTGACCTTCATAAAAGGAAGTAAAAAACACAGTTTCAAAAGGGTTTTAATCTCACTCATAAAATGCCTAATGTTGATGGTTTTTATAGTTACATTTGATTTACCATCAAAGAGAACCCATTCGATTTGTGTTTGTGCTTACATTTGACTAAGTAAGCGGACGGATCATTATAAATAATAAAGTGAATTTTGAATTCAAGTATGGTATCGACACGGACTAAGTATATACTACTAATTTTATGATAATCTAGCTTCAACCTAAATTAATTTAATAATTACCAATTATCAATTTCAAGTGTTTACGTTTCTAACTAAAGTATACTAGTTTGATATGATTTAATGAGTTTGTGAAAAACTTTTGGGATTTAGAAGCTAAAAATTTCAATTTCACATAAATTATCTAACATTCATCTAATTCAATTTTATCGAACCCCTTTTTTATATGTATTGTCAATCAAATTAATTAATTTTAGTTAATAATCTCTTGAGTAAAATTAACCCTATCCACATGCTAAAGCATTCAATTTTAATAGTTCAATTATGATTATATAATCTATAAAATTATCCCTCTATCTCTTACCAAAACTCATTTTGCTTATTGCACGAACTTAATAAATATATGGGTCTCAATATTATCCTTAACCAATATAATTGGTGATCAAGTAATTTGATGATAATTTGGCACACAATAAGCAATTAATACATAATCAAATTAGCATAAAATCTACTTAATTAAATAAATATTAATCTACGCTACGTCGTTCGGTCTCATAATAATAAGCCAGTCATAATATTGAAATCAAATAACAAAATGATGAAAAAATAACTGAATTTAACACGATGATTAAATAATTAATTTAAGCTATTGTTATCCTTTGACACTCAAATCCTAACAAAGATTTTCAATTCTTCCTTGATTTGTTGTACATCTCCCAGTAGTGCTAAACCACGAAACCGTCGAACCACAAAATCGAATTGAAATCGTTTTTTTTTTTTAAAATCATTGGTTTGGTTCCACGTGGATCCGTTAAAGTTTTGGTTTAAAACCAAATTGAACCGCTTCGAAGTGGTTTTGTATATGTTTCAATCCTTGCAAACTGTTTTAAACTACTAAACCTTTTTAATAAAATGAAAATAAATTAGTCTAAGTTTTCTCCAACTCAATTAAAACTAAACACATTCCAATTAAAAAAAATACATCCACATTAGATATAATTCAATTAAACTCAATACATAAATAGATAATTATACATCTTAATTAATTGATTAAATTATATCAAAATATCTATTAGTCATCACAATTGTGAATGTAAAATCTTCAAATTGGGTAAAGTGTTGAACTGCTGCTACACCATATTCATTGATCCTCCATTACAATTGAGTAAGTAATTAAATCTAGATTTTAATTCAAACTTACACATTTCATTTCTTTCTACTAATAATTTTCTCGAATTTTGCCTAAATTTTCAAGTCAGTTCATCTATTTTTTTTTTATTATTTGCTATGTTTTTATTAGTACTTATGTTACTTTGTTTTAATTATTGTCAGGTTCTCTTAAATTTTTAGGTGATAGGATATTTTTTGTTTATTTGCGTCTCAATTTCCTAGTCAAATCACTTAATTAATTATTTAAATTTTAATTTAGTTTCTAAATGTTACTGCTAATTGTTAGAATAATTTGTTAGATTACTTAAATGGTAGTTTTGAAGATTTGACCAATGAACTTTTTTGATGTAATACTTCGGAAAAATTCAATTCAAATCAATACAATATTGTCCTTCAAATTACTAAAGATGTGTTAATTATTCAAATATCCAAAATTATTCTAAGTCTACATTCCTTATTAGTGGTCAAATTCTTGATTTCTTTAGGAGTTCGTGAGTGCTAATAAGGTTAAGGTAGTGATTTGCCTTAAAAATTAGTTTTATAATAACAATAAATCGATATTAATTCATCAATATTTGGATGAAATAGAAGTATTAGATGATTCATAAAAAGTTACAGTGGCTAGGTCTTATCGTATTTGATCCTTTTTTTATTAGTTGTTTTATATCTTTTCACTATAATCAATAAATTCATGT